TAAAGTCTGCACTGGGAAGGCGTAGACACAGATTAAATGATATTTAAATGTATTTATCAGGGAAACAGGATTTGGGAGTGTGCGTTGGATTTATCCAGCTCAGGATAACGATCGGCGATGAACCTTTGGGTTCTATGGGAATTTCTTGACTGTCTGCGCGAATATTAGTTAGCAGGGTTCTCACCCCGCGGAGTATGAAGATGGCTGGTTGTCTTCTGGTAGTCTGGTAGAAGTTTATCGGCGTTTCAGATGTGTTTGCTGGGCCCTGATGATCTAGGCAGGAAGAACTTTCGAAACGTTGGTGTATACTTCTACCAGACTACGCGGCGTTACAACGCAGAAGACAGCCAGCCATCTTTGCTGTGTCGTTTTGTCTGCGAAACGTCCGCGCAGATGTGCACGGATTCTAAGACTCCCCACGCATTCCTCCAAAGGCGTTGACGTAATCGGCAAGTTTAATCCGAGGGTTTCTTCTTTTCGCTTTGTTAGTCGAACACTTTCCTCTCAGACTTTGTTCAAGCTAATAAATGATTGAGTCTTGGGAAATTTGGTTCGCAAGTGCCCTCAGCAAGCTCGTGTTTGCATGTACTTGGTGGCTGCTCCACGAAGTTAATTCAGTGGTACAAGTACACTGTGAGAATTCTTTACTTAATGGGATTGACTCTTACTATGACGTCTCTTGTTATCATAATTAGTAGTTCTGAAGAACTTTGTTCATGCGTCACCAACAAATAATTTCTTCTCAAGGGTTTTGGAGTTTCAAGATTTAACGTCGTTTAACTAAGCACAATGCAACATTGAAGATGGCTGACTGTCTTCTGTGTTGTGGCGCCGTGCAGTCTGTTAGAAGTTTACCGACTTTTCAGAGGTCCTTGCTGCATCGATGTCATCGCCCTGATGATGGAGGCAGCAATAGCCTCTGAAACGTCGGTAAACAGGCTGCACGGCGCCACAACACAAAAGACAGTCAGCCATCTTCATACTCGCAGCCGTGAGCACTTTAGACTGCTAAGAGACTTACTTTAAAGCAGTTGTATTCAACCTGGGATACGCGAAGACATCTTAGGGGGTACGTGAAATTTAAAAAAAAATATATATGTTATTTTATGATAAACACTGAATAATCAGTAATGTAATTTATTTAATTTATTTTAGATGTAGATTATATACTATGCATAACTTTGGGGGTACAAAGTTGAAGAGAAATTATATTTGGGGGTACAAAGTTGAAGAGAAATTATATTTGGGGGTACAAAGTTGAAGAGAAATTATATTTGGGGGTACAAAGTTGAAGAGAAATTATATTTGGGGGTACAAAGTTGAAGAGAAATTATATTTGGGGGTACAAAGTTGAAGAGAAATTATATTTTGGGGTACGCGAACAAAAAATGGTTGAATACCATTTCTTTAAAGCATACAAGAGTTAAAAAACGATGGACTAATACGAAATGGTGTTTTTATGTTTTAAGAATTTGGTTCGTACCTGAAAGAAAACGCAACACGTTACTATAAGATTAACCAAAATAAATACGAAGCATAACTTATTGTTAAAGCAGGTGGTACGCATAGTTCCCTCCAAACTTTAATGTCCGAACCAGTTCCCAGTTTACGAAGAATATTGCTGTTTGGCGTCTCAGAATTTCAGCGGATTTGTTTTATTTGATTCCCGATCTTTGGAGTTCTAATTGTTCTGCGTAAAATCCCAAATACAACCTTCAATACACTCACCTACAGCGGGTAAATGTGTCAAGACTTCGATAATAATTGATAAATTACGTCTTCTTGAAACTTGTAAGTAAACCAACGAAGCATCGGGATGTGACGAAGACGTGGATGTGAAATAGGAACTGGGACAGACTTTTGAAAGTGAGTTCGTTTGAGGTTAAGGCGGACACTGCGTTACGAAATAACCAGTCCTGCCTCTTCAGGCGAATGTACGAAGTTGCGTGAAAAATTGTACGGCACTCTCTCTTCTCTCGTTGTTAATTAAAAAATATTTACGATGTTTTTATGTGTTAAGAGACTACAAGGTGTATTCACTTCTCTGGTCTTCTCAGACCCCCACATAATGCAGAAGGTCCAGGCCTTCTAACGGAGATGCTCCACGAAACAGCAATAATATATATCGCTTTATGCAATACAGAAACATCATGTGGCACCCTGGCTAGGACTTCAGGAAGAGCATTTGGTACATAATAGAATAGTAAATGTTTCAAAATAACGTGAATGGTGAGACAGTTCTGCAAACATAACGTAAAGAGTGAAAGTTTTAGAATTAAAACAATTAACTTTAATTTGTGTATAGTAGGAGCTATACCGCCTCTCCCCCCCCCCAAGTGCCTACGTGGCGTATACTGGGACAGTCTTACTTCGTTTTTATTAGGCCTTGTAATCCTGGGGCCTCGGGTTCGAATTTATAACTTGTGTTGGGCAAGGCCGTGGTCTAGGCAACACGGAGTTTTCCTCCGTTGCATCCCAACAATTACTCCATTCACACACAGAAGAAGGCAATGGCAAACCACTTCTGGATCATCTGCCAAGAACGTATATGAACAGGTCCCAGTCCGAGAAAAGGATGGAAGGATCCTGTTCATATGGACCTGTCCTCAGACAGAACACTAAATAATAATAAGATGAGGTGATCTAGCTGAGTGTCCTCTCCGGTGCAGACTCAGTGCATACACCATTAAGATGTATACATTTCGTTTGAAGCTCTTTCGAATACGAGGAAATGCCTTGCAGTGTTTGAACTGGACAGGGACAAGGCTTGAGCGTGAAACTGGCCGTTCATCTCCATTTAGTGCCAAGGTCAAGAATGCGTGGAGTTTTATTCACACGTCCTCAGTACGCCTTGTCAGTTTGGTGGGCCGGAGCGTGAGGCTGATCACTGATCTGAGGATGCGAGGACCCACAGGTCGATCTATTCGTGGAATGGTGGTTAAATTTACCTATGGAACGGGCCATCGGAAGCACTCGACACCTTTCCTCGATGGTCGACGGTGGGTGATGCGTCAGACCGCATCCAAGACGTCGTCATCGCACAGAGGACGTTGATGCTTCTCGCTGCAAAGGGCCCGTGTCGAATGGACTTTGACTTCAGGCTGTAGGCCGAACGCGGCGTCTCGGTGTAGAAATATGTTACGTAATCAGTAAAGACACGTGCTGAGATAGAGTTGCACGACAAAGAACGGGCTTGTTACGTCGTTAGTCACAGGACTCCGGTTGAAAAAGCCCGGAAGGAACGGATGATACGGGACCCTAAGAAATAGGAATTTTACTCCGTTGTTTGTGCTGATCGAAATTATTGGCTTTGTGCACAAGGTAAATGTACAGTTGAGTTCCTTAAAAGGAAGAAATTTGTCGACAAGTTGAGAAACTACAAACTTTTAAAGAAACGCATAACAGCGTAGGTCGTAAACTTTGAGGCTGTTAGGCGTAATTTAAATTTATTTTTGACCGTAAACCTCATCAGTGTCAGACTCTGCACCTTCAGGTAATCCCAGCCTTGTCAAATCGAAAGGACGTTGCTGATATTCTGTGTCTCTCTCCTTGTCATACAATTATTACAGTTCATTATCGATTTTAATCGTCGTTTAGAATAATTATATTGTCTTCAGCGCGTAATTAAACAGCAGGCACTCCAGTGGCTGACTCTACAGGCATTACGTGAGAACATCTTCGTAAATTTTATACAACCCTGGAAGCTGAGGCCACCACTGCCGAACGCAATAAAACGTAACCCTGAACTTTACTCAGGACATTCTTCCATTAATGAGAATGGTGAACGTAGCTTGAATACCAGCAGCTGATTAAGCGAAATTAGAAATCTCGTGGACTCGCTTCCTGCCGTAATTCAGCAAAATTGCCAGTGGGTTA